CATCGAACATCAACAGACTTGAACACATTCAGTTTTGTTGGCCGAGGGTCTGTTATGGAAGACGCCGTGTATCTTGTCCGCTGACTCTTTATACAATCAGAGAGTATTAGCCTTGTCATTTCATTCCGACATTCACGTCAATGCTCCCGCCGCTGAACAACAATCCACTGAGACAGCTATTTCTGGACGTTCTTCACAATGAATAATATCTTACATTACGGCAAAACTTTGCAAAAGTGTCACCATGTAGTAAAATACCTCGAACATGCGATAAATATTAATTATCTGAACCACGTCGACCAGAATGCATAAACATCCACACAATGACGTGATTAAAAAGCGGTTGAACTAATCGCTGCTGGTGGGAAATGTAAGATGCTGCTGGTGGGAAATGTAAGATATGTAACCGGGACTAGACGCTGCCTTGGAATAGTTTCTCCACTCAACGAGGCAGTGGGGAAACAAAGTATTTGTCTGCAATTTCAAACTCCCCAGCAATGCAGCTACTTCGATAGCTTTAACCTGTTACAGGCAACTCGATATAGAAAGTATTCAGCCCTTCTTTTTGAGGCAGCTGCGACCGAGAATATTTCCCATGTTTACAAGTAGGTCCCACCGGGCAGGTATGATTATATTTACAGGTTCGTCCTACAGGGTAGGTATGACCACCTTTACAGTTGAGTCCCACCGGGCAGGTATGACAATATTTACAGGTTCGTCCCACAGGGTAGGTATGACCATATTTACAGGTGAGTCCCATCGGGCAGATATGACAATATTTACAGGTGAGTCCCACATGGCAGGTATGATCATATTTACGGGTTATTCCCACAAGACATGTATGACCAATTTATAGGTACGTTCCACAGGAAACGTATGACCATGTTTACAAGTTAGTCCCATAGGGCAAGTATGCTTTATGCAGAGATTTCTATTGGATATGGAACGGGTTTTGTCGCTATATTTAGGTTATTCCAACAGGGCAATAATGACCATGTTTCACGTTATTCCAACAGGGCAAGAATAACCATGTTTCACGTCATTCCAACAGGGCAATAATGACCATGTTTCACGTTATTCCAACAGGGCAAGAATGACCATGTTTTACGTCATTCCAACGGGGCATGAATGACCATGTTTCACCCCATTCCAACGGGGCATGAATGACCATGTTTCACCTCATTCCAACGGGGCAAGAGTGACCATGTTTCACCTCATTCCAACGGGGCAAGAGTGACCATGTTTCACCTCATTCCAACGGGGCATGAATGACCATGTTTCACCTCATTCCAACGGGGCATGAATGACCATGTTTCACGTCATTCCAACGGGGCATGAATGACCATGTTTCACGTCATTCCAACAGGGCAAGAATGACCATGTTTCACGTCATTCCAACAGGGCAAGAATGACCATGTTTCACGTCATTCAACGGGGCATGAATGACCATGTTTCACGTCATTCCAACAGGGTAAGAATGACTATGTTTCACGTCATTCCAACAGGGTAAGAATGACCATGTTTCACGTCATTCCAACAGGGTAAGAATGACTATGTTTCACGTCATTCCAACAGGGTAAGAATGACCATGTTTCACGTCATTCCAACAGGGTAAGAATGACTATGTTTCACCTCATTCCAACAGGGCAAGAATGACTAAGTTTTACGTCATTCCAACAGGGCAAGAATGACCATGTTTCACGTCATTCCAACGGGGCAAGATTGACCCTGTTTCACGTTATTCCAACAGGGCAATAATGACCATGTTTCACGTTATTCCAACAGGGCAAGAATGACCATGTTTCACGTCATTCCAACAGGGCAGGTATGACCATGTTTCACGTTATTCCAACAGGGCAAGTATGACCATGTTTCACGTCATTCCAACAGTACAGGTATGACTTTATTTACAGGTTAGACCCACAACCTAGGTATAACCATGTTTCACCGTATTCCTACAGTACGGGTATGGGTCACATATCACCACAACTATACATGGGGATTAACAACATACCGTAGCACATTTGACACGTTACCACTGATTATATATACATGTATGTATGTCGTGACTCGTCGGTAGAAAGACATCATTGCGTACCATATTTGAGATAACACTTTTCACTGCTCTGATATTCCATTAATACGTGACAAGGGAAGATACAAGAAACATAAGAAAGTAGAACATGAAATAAATATCAATATTACATGGTAACTGAATCTTCAGAAGGAAATGTTCGTCGATATGTCTCATTGAAACAAATTTGATATTCAATAATTTCAGCAGAGGATATCGTGCGTTTCGTTGTTTGGTCTATTGCACGGCGTTAGCGTTTATCTATATCGAAAGAAAGCTTGTTTGTTTGATGACAAAAACGCATTTACAGAAACCATGAATGTATTAATACTTAGTTGTGAAGTACAACAAATTAGCTCCCGCTGTTACATTGACGACGATGTCATTTCTGTGAGAGTCTCCATCAGGATATCAATACACCAACAACGACCATGCACGCTTTAATCCAGTTTGAAAAATCGTATAAAATGCTAGGTAGGTTAGGTAAAGACGTCCCAAAGCAACGTCCACAGGCAAGAGATCTACACCTATACGTCTCTGTCCAACCAGGCAGGAAGATACTAAATCACCCCTCCACTATATATCCATGCATAACGTTATACAAATATTATATGATAAGGACCAATACGTAGAATATCATACACCTTGAGAGGAGTAGATACCTGACACTGCCATCGAAACATGGCGTCAGTTTGTCGGTAAAACAACACTTGTTACAGTTCGCATAATAAAAGTTCTTTTAGCACAACCATGATTAACACAACGACTAGCGTTCAATGATTAACACAACGACTAGTGTTGTTGGTGTATTCGGTAATCACTGATATTAAATTCTCTCTCTCTCTCTCTCTCTCTCTCTCTCTCTCTCTCTCTCTCTCTCTCTCTCTCTCTCTCTCTCTCTCTCTCTCTCTCTCTCTCTCTCTCTCTGTATTGATTTTAACTTTCTCTGGGTATTGATCCGACTTGTCCCACTCGAACCGCTATCTCCACACAGCGTTACAACGCCGACGGAACAATGAGATGGAAGTAATTAGATTTTAACAATAAAAGAAACATTTCTGATTTTCGAACCCTGAAGACATTCATTATCATTTTCATACTTTCAAACACATGTGAATATATTACATTTATATTATATGTAGTATTGTCCAGTTAACTACATTTAAACTTTCCCCTCGTCAAATTATCTACATTTATACTTTCCCCTCTTCTAGGCATCTACATTTACACTTTCCCCTAGTCAAGTTATTAACAATTAAACTTTCCCGAGTCCAGTTATTAAAATGAAAACTTTCCCCTCCTCCAGACATCTGCATTTACAATTTCCAGTCGTCCAGTTATCAACACAAAAGCTTTCCCTCGTCCAGTTATCTACATTAATACTTTCCCCTCGTCAAGGCATCTACATTTATGCTTTCCCCTCGTCTAGGCATCTACATTTATACTTTCCCCACGTCCAGTTATCTACCAGTTATACTTTCCCCTCGTCCAGTGATATACATTAATACTTTCCACTCGTCTAGGCATCTACATTTATACTTTCCCCACGTCCAGTTATCTACATTTATACTTTCCCCTCGTCCAGTGATATACATTAATACTTTTCCCTCGTCTAGGCATCTACATTTATGTTTTCCCCTTGTCCAGTTATCTACCATTTATACTTTCCCCTCGTCCAGTTATCTACCATTTATACTTTCCCCTCGTCCATTTATCTACATTTATACCTTTCCCTAGTCCAGTTATCTACATTTATACTTTACCCTCGTCCAGTGATATACATTTAAACTTTCCCCTCGTCCAATTCCCTTGGAATGCCGGGCACACACAGTCAGCCAACATGGGACGCAGTGTCAATAACCTCGCCTCAACACAACACGGATAAACATAAGCTACACCCGGCGTTTGTCCTCGCTGTTATTAGCCTTTTAGGTTAAGCGACCGAAGCTTTGTGTGTATCTGACAAGGAACAAGGTATAACATGTGTTGTCGCCTTCGATCTGGCCCGGACTCTGGGTTTGAACTGGCTGAGTCGACTGGTGCAGTATTTAAAACCTCGTCTCAACCCTCAGAATAAATACGCAACCATCACTACTTCATCACTGGTGCATCTTTCGACACAACAAATGCTGAGACTCAGACGAGAGAGCAAAATTTCATTTTGGCGAATTTTTCTGAGAAAAAAAGTAGCCAGTTCAGCATCGTGTTTCAAACACTGTTTATCAAATTGGAGAGCTTCTTGACACCCCGGGAAGTCGGTTTGAATATGTCAATTTCTCCGACTCGCAAAATATCAAGAGTCCCTGCCTTGCCCAATTAGCGACAGCTTGAGCAACGCTACTTGAGTATCCCCGAGGCGGACGTGAAACACGCGAAATAGACAACACAAGACTCTGTCGTCTAAAAAACGTCTAACGGACGCTAACAGACCGAATGAAATATCAGCTTTGTTGTAAACTTGTAAACCCCAGCGAGGCAGTATCGGCAAATGTCTATAAATCTACTCGTGCTGTGTTTGATATTTGACAGGGTGAAATGAAATCAAACAGCGACAATGTGACATGTTATCTATTCAAAAGTCCGCTGTGGCAAAGTACAAGTGTTATCTGTGTTTCTCAGTGATGTGGCGACTTGGCAAACAACCTCACTGTCGTTAGTCCTCGTCAATCAATTGTAAAGATGAAATGTCGTCTGCTCCAATATAATGTCGTCTGCTAACGTTCTCACGTGGGAAGAAGCAGACGAGATTTTATCCACAGCGTACTAAAGCCGATAATATCAACCTGACAGCAGTGACGCCAAATAAGTAGTAATTTGTATGACTGGAAATGTGCCTCAAGGTAACAGGCTCAATATATCAGTATTGTAAGGAAAGTAGGGCGAGACTGCAAGAGGGGGTATAATTTAGAATAATTATCACTCTTACCTGTACCACTGAAGTCCCTTATTGTAGTGTCTATCAAAGAAGTGGGGTTCGGGTCCAGGAGCACGAACATCAGGGTGGATCCTAAGGAACTCCAATAAGGCTCTTGTTCCTCCTTTCTTCACGCCAATAATTAGTGCCTCGGGTAATTTCTTTGTGGCATTTTCTTGTACCCTTGCGAGTCCTGTTGATTCTGTGCTGTCCTTTTTCTTGACCTGACTCCCCTCCTGGAACACCTCATATTCCTCCTCCTCCTCCTCCCCTCTCCCAGAATCACTCCACTCCTCGTCCAGATAAATCGTACTCGCGGTATTTGTCAACCGATTATCCATCTTGGATCGTTTGCTCACAAAGTTGTTTTCTGTATTCCCTCTTAAGCCTGGCTTGTTCCTCCCGCTAATAACCTTCCCGCCTCGCTCCAATATTTCTTGAGCATGTGAATTTTGAAGTACTCTGTTATGTCTTGAGACAAGCATTGAAGGTAAATCCTGAGTTTTGTCACTAAATTCCTCGTCTTGAAGTTTGTCCCCCAGGGCGGAGAGGTCGGAGGAAGAGGATCTCTCGCTGACGACGAGCGAGTCGGACAGAGGCACCACGTAGAGGACAGACAGGGCGAGGAGGTAAGCACAGACTATCAGGAACCCTCCAAGACTCATAATGACCAGCAACGCACTTCGTCTCACTCTCAGACAAGGAAACACAAACATATCCAGGAATAACACGGGGTTAAATTGCACCCCTCCGATGGTCCATCCATCGTTCCTTCATTCATCCGCCTTCGTCTTCTAGCCTTCCCACGACTACACCAACGTCGAAGGAGGCTCCATTTAGCCGACGTCCTGTTTAGTAAACATCCTTGGTCTGTGTCACGGCTGGTCAGTTAGTCACGACGCGAGGGCATTCTACCTGAAACATCAATACAACGTGAACTCCACTACACTAAGCCTGCTCTTACACCACATGTGTAAGTATTGTGTGCTGTGTGTCATGTGACTTGGCCCGCGCTGCTGATTGGCTATGCGGACAGCGCGAAGTGAATGAAAGCCCGATGTAAACAATATGCTATGGACATAACGGCACTCTTGGAGTAATTTAGACCAGTTCGGCGCGTGCCTGGTTTGGTAGTGCAGGCACGAGGGTTTGTTTAATTTCTCATTATCAACGCTGTGAGCTGTGAAACATGGAAAAGCATATCTAACCTCAGTGCAAGTGTTTTCTCATGATAGTGTAGAAGTGTTTACACATGAAAGGTAACAAGTAAACATTCCATAAAAATGTCGCTGAGCAGACACTAACTAACTAAACAAGAATATACGAACAAATATTAACAAATAAAAAACATTATATAATAAAAAGATAAACATAAACAATATATGATAATTTCACAATTCCTCTAACACAAGGACGCTTATATAGGAACGGTGATGCTTTAAAAAAGAAGAAACATTCGAATATTTAAACAAAGTATCTTTTAAAACTGCAAAATTAACCTGTTATTCGTCCCTGAAATGTATATCACTCCATCATAATTAACTTATACATAAAGTCCATATAGGGCTAAGTCACGTTTTCGAAATATCAAGAAGCCAGGAGCATTAAAAATGTATGTTCCTCAAAAGCCGTCATAATGTTGAATATGATACGTGCTGTAGTCGTGACTGGACGCCATCCACAACAAGGTTATGCATTCAGTGGGAGATGTTATCGCTCCCATTTCGACATTCTACCTGTCAGATACCGGCAAACTTTGCCCTCATGCCGAGCTGAGTGAGACTCCGTTGTGATTAACACTATAATTAGTCTGTCTAGCGTATTGTAATTGCTCGTATGAGTAACTGATATCTTGGTTTGCATATCTACATATTTCGCTTCTCACCATGAGCGTGTGAACAACATCTATCCCCCTTTGTCTTGTGTGGTGTATAATGTTACATTTCCTTAAACTCGGAGTCGCCGATGTGAAATATTTGTAAAGGAAGGTAGACAACTCTGAAATTTTATTTTGATTTATCCCATCAATAATTACCTCCCTTTCGTAAACCGAGCCGGGTTATCCGAAGTGATCTATATTTGCTTAACTTGTAAAATGTCATCTTCAGGTATATTTGTTCAATCGTATTTGTAATGCATTTGGTATGTCTGTCCCTGCGGGATAATGCATTGCGTTAATGGAGAATGTGTTATTTGATGAGATAACAATGTGGTATGTTATCCTATCATGTAAGAATGTAACTACGTGCAGATTTCAAACCGTATCTCGCCCCTCGATATGACAGCTAGTCGAGTCATCCACCTCTAAGTTCGGAGGTCGAGTCCCAACTAAATTCTCATATTCGTAGTTGTCCATTTCAAGTCATATCACGTGACTTTTGATTGATAGTGCTGGCCCCGCCTCAAGTAGAACTATGTAGTTATGTACACCAGTTTTAATCTGCACGCGTTCAGAGATTATCCCGTGCTTAGCAACTATCATATCGCGATTGGTATATATCCTCAAGTTGATGTGATAGGCTTTATGTTGCCCTGGTGGTATTGAGACAACACTGACACGTTGATCATGTTTTGGTGTTTAAGCTTAAATCATACAGACTGACCTGCCAGCAACGATTAAATGCTTAATGGGTGTAATTTGAGCCCGCAAGTGTTTTAATTATTAGCTCGTGTCGGTAAACTGACAATGATAGAATACACTTGGCACCCAGCACGGGGTATCATCACCTGGGGGCGGGAATGGGGCGTACATATTTACATACAATTAGGTGAACATGACTGTGTTATTCATGAGTAGGTACAGGTATTAAAAAGTTAGATACGCGAAAAAATACATGATGACTAATTATTGATGATGTATCCGTCGACAAATACAGTAGATTTTTCTTTGTAATTGGTATGCGGAGCATAGCTTCATTTTATTGTATTTGAAAGGGAACATTGTGCAATTTATATGGTTTATGTTTGATCTGATTGTCCGTTTAAAAAGGAGTCCAGAGCAACAACTGTTTTTCACACATGTGTTTTCATTTTAGTGAGCTATTATTAGTTTACTTTTTAAAATAATAATTTGCCAAGTTACTATTTTGATATATTTGGTATTTGATGATGGTCTTTCGGAAAACTATTTTTTTCTTAAATAGTTTTTGGTAATTTCAAAGCAACGATTCAAAACATGTGGCGTTATATAAGTCAGACTTCCTATCTCCATCCCGCATACCAACCCTACATGTCAACGCCATCAGGAAGACACGTGACTTGCAGCACAGCGTCAACTGAAATTCCAAGGGAGTAAATGATATCATATCACCTGTCAAGGTGGCTGATTACAGTACGATATTCACTGGATGATTATTTATGGTATGCTGTGTATATCGGTATTGGCATTACTGTAATTATCTCAATTTGGACGCATCGAGAAATATACTGAATGAAGAATATTGACACGATTCTATTCTTCAAAATTTCTTTTAGTTATACAGATAAAGATGTATCACACACAGACACACACACAGACACACACACACACACACACACACACATATATATATATATATATATACACACACACACACACACACACACACACACACACACACACACACACACACACATACATACATACATACATACATACATACATACATACATATATTCTGAATATTTTGTTTCACTTTGAAGATACTAACAGTTAAGTAAAAGGAACATAGCATACATTTATAATACATTTAATGTCGTGTTCAAATAAACATTGCATGTCCACGATTTCTATATAATTCTCAATGTAAAACAAGTGTTGTTAGTTTTGCACATGAAAGTAATTCGGTGTAATGTAATGCATTACCTTGTACATATCACGGTTGTCCCTAGTTTCTAACATGTAAGGAAAATGTTATTTATTCCTTGTGTGACGTGCTGAAATATTGCCGAGTTAAACAACAAACAACAAACATGTTATGCTCCATCTATAAAGTACGTGTCAATACAAACGTACCATTAGATTGATACTAATAGTTGGCGCGGTGGGGTAGCCTAGTGGTTGAAGCGTTCGCTCGTCACGCCGAAGACCCGGGTTCGATTCCCGACATGGGTACAATGTGTGAAGCCCATTTCTGGTGTCCCCCGCCGTGATATTGCTGGAATATTGCAAAACCCTATTCACTCACTCGATGATAACATAGTGGGACTGGGACCTGTATTTAAAGATACACTTGGAGCAACGCATACACTTTCATACCTTCAGTACCAAGTAGATTTCTCTTCTTCAAACACTGGGACTATTTTCATTTGGATGACGGGTGTAATATTGTAATCTTTCCTAAATAGTTAATCAAAAATTTACAAAAACAACAAAGAAAGTAAAGTAGTTTTGAAAAAATCATCTTTTCCAGATGTTTACATATTCTAATAAAAACGGGTTTAACGTTTCAAACACCGTGCCATGAATCACTGTATTTGTGTTGTGATATTCTTAAAGCCCACATTGTTTATGATAAAAGGATCGTTCAAAGTAAGATGGTCAGAGAATCACTGGAGAAGTCAACAACCATGTGGGATAAAATCTCGTTTGTACGTTAAACTGGTATAAATTCACATTATGATTTAACCGCATGTCTTTTAAATAACAGCGTTGTTTCCCTTGCGCCAATGAAATTTTGTAAGTTTGGCACCAGACAATATAATGGCTTGACAGTAAAACTGACTTTCCATGGAGAAAATACCAGTGTCGGTTATATGTTGGTAGTAACGCACTGTAACATAAGCATTGTAGTGAAGTAGCGACACCCAAAATACATACCATCGTTGGTAAGTTTACTGAGAAATAATTCATCAGAATCTGACACCCCAAAATATGCCTACGTAAATGAACGTATTTGTTTGTTCTTTAACATAAGTATAGAATTCCAAAATTATATTAATAATGATGTTCATGACACGTATTCTCATTTATTTATTTTATGAAGAAAAAGAAGAAGAAAAATTGATTTATTAATGTGTCGCTCTTTGCAATTATAAAATATTCTAAAACACAGTTATAACAATTTTAAAAATAGCAAAGTCCAGCCTCAAAGGGTTATGAAACACACAGTGGCATAAAATAACAAATTATATTGAATAAAACATAAATAGTTAAAATTGTATGAAAGGGATAGTTTAAACTTGAGGATTAATTAATTTGGTTTAAGTGAAAGTATTTATGAAGAAGTAGATCTGCGTCTGCACACAGAATAATAGATGCGGCTAAAGGATGGGAAAATAGGTCATTTACCATGAGGTAGCTTAGTTTATCAATGGGTCCCACAGAAGAAAAAAGAGGTTCAAATTAAATTAATTTAATTTAAAGATCATATCTTAAATCAGGACAGAATGGACAGACAATTTAAAATGTACCTAAACAACGAAACGCAGGCATGTGCATTCTCTGTAAACAACGTATTGGGAATTAGGAATGTATGTACATATTGATAATGGAAAACAAGCATATCAAATATTAAGATGAAAACCTTTTTCTGTGTGGCGTTTAAAGGCTACCAATGTTTACATTATTTTTAAGACGTTTGAAGGCTACATGTCTTTTATTTATTTCTCTACAACGTACCCTCAATAATTCACGTTCTCCGCCTCTAACTTTCTATTTTGTTAATATCGCATTTAATTTGTTCATTCAATTTTGTTGCGAAGCTTGTGATATTCATTACTCATTGTCTTTCACATGTTAGGGTTTCACTGCATACGTCAACAAGGAAAAAAGCTTAAAAAATAATACTGACTGAAAGTTTCAGCTGTTCAGTCATTTAAAGCAGCACAATATTTAATTGTCTGATTTTTGCACCTTGGCAATTATGATATTGATTTCTCAGTAGACATTGTAAGCTGTAGTTTGTCTGACTGGTGTGTTGAGGTGTCGCTCTCTGTAGCCTTCACAGGAGTGAAATAGACATGATTTGTGACACATGACAAGCGATAATTGTCTCGACCTCCTTTCTCCCCGCGCATGTCTGAATACAGGGGTGACATGTGCTGATAATAACGTTTGCATGGATCTCGGTGTCACTCTTGCGTGTTATAAACGTCATTGTGTTACAAATACAAGAGAAAATTGTATAATATTTTTTGGTTTTAAAATTACCTTTTCACATTCATTTCTGTTGCATTGTGCCAACTATCATTCTAAAACCACGTTAAAATATAGCGCGCGTGCGTGCGTGCGTGCGTGCTTGCGTGCGTGCGTGTGTGTATGTGTGTGCGTGCGCTCGTTATCCTTTTCGCGAACACCTGGTGTCATCACTGATTTTCAGTGGTCCATTCTTATAATTTCCACAGCTATTTTGCTATTTTTTCTTTTACACCCAGTTCTTCCTCGGATAATCGAGACTGGTTATTCTCTGGCGTTGTCGTTTTATATTTTTCATCTGTATATTTTTTTATTATTTTGTGGCCAAGCTGTATCCGCTATAGATATAAACAATGTTTCACTGAGCATGGGACCAGCGCGAGGCTCGAGGACACTATTTCGGTTGTCTAGTTATAATATTCATACAACAGATTCTATTTAACATAGAAACTAGTTGCAGAATTATTTTGACATAAAAGTGTGAAACACATATTGTGAAACAAATTTTAAATGTAAATATTTTAGCGTTTATGACTCTTTCTTGTGGCAATCCTTGACATTAATAACCGACACCAAAGAAATAAGACAATGTATATCACCTTCTGACTTTATATAAATAACGTCTGTATGTTTGCTTGTATATTATCAAGACTTGTGTGTCTCGTTTCCCGTTAGAATATCCCCCGTCAACCGTCGCCAGTACTATTTCAAATTGCTCACAACAGGAACATCTGCTGAGACAAGGACATTCATTTTCAGATAACTTCCTTGAAGATTTATGATAAAGAAGAAAAAAAATAATTTATATAACGGGATAGGATTACTCAAAATATGCATGCACACGCGTTCGTTAAAGAAAAACAAAAATGTCGCCACGCACAGGACAATTTCCTAGCATGCCAGGTACATAGGGGCTAGAGAACTACCGAAACTGTTCGCTCGTATTTGAGGCTTGTTTTTTGTTCTGTTCAGGAACCAGTGAGTGAGTTGGGTTTTACGCCGCATTAAGCAATCTTCATGCAATATCAGGGCACCAGAACATGTTTCACACATGTTGGAATTGGTCATTAGTTTCTTTCTTTGTCTGTTGTTTAACGCCGCACTCAGCAATATTTCAGCTATATGACGTCAGTTTGAAAAAAAAAGAGTCTGGACCAGACAATCCAGTCATTGACGTCATGAACATCGATCTACGCAGTTGGGATACGCATGCATCAACCAAGTCAGCGAGCCTGACCACCCGATCCCGCTAGTCGCCTCTTACCACAAGCATAGTCGCCTTTTACGACAAGCATTGTTGCTGAAGACCTGTTCTACCCCTGATCTTCACGGGTCCAGGCCATTGTTTTTCTTAAGAACTGCATACTACCATGGGATATGAAACTGTCACGATACAGAATGTAGTGTTGTGTCATGTGGCCCCGTGAGGCTAGTGGTGTCTGGACGTGCGTGTATCCAACACAAACCCTCGTTTTTCAAACGCTAAGTTTACATATTTAAACACGTTTACCAGTCTTAAAAGTTTGTTTATAAACAGATCACCGTGACTTGTAAAATCAAAGTTTACAATTTTAAAATATACACAGCAAATAAATACTTACAGAATTATTGTTGTATCTGGGATAAGACGACAGCGATATCCATAAGCAGGTATTAATTCTCCCTGTGTACACAGATCGGTTGGAGCTATACAAGCGGGGCTAAGAGCTTTGTTTGTCTAGAAGCTCGCGTTACCCAACAGTTTGCGGGACTCAGGGAGCACGCGCTGAGAAGGCTGCTGCATCAGTCAAAGCTTCCCGTATGTTTGTGCGTCTGTGCATCCTTGCCTCCTGTGTTTGTTTGTGATGCATGCATACACCTAGACACAATATTTGGCTTAAGACATCTGATACTCCTTAAACGCAAACGCACTGTATGAGAGATTAATGTACATGCATGACACAACACAGACGCGTGTATGAGTGACAAGGGGTTGTCAAAGCGTTACAATGTAAAAAGTTCAAGAAAATATTACTTTTTAAAAAAGTCTTTCGTAGGCATTTTGAAATAATTATTGATAAAACAGGAGGATCTAGGGTTTTAAGGATGAGCTTTTATATCTCTATCCCGTTAATATCGGAATGGGTGGCCTAGTGGTTACAGTGTTCGCTTGTTACCGCGAAGACCGGGTTCGATTCCCTACTTGGATGGGCGCTTGAAGCACTTATTGGTGTTCCCTGTCCCGATAATGCTGGAATGCTGATATTGCGAGAGACATTCACTCGCTCAGACTGAGTACATCGGATGAAGAGATTATGTTCGCTTAGGCTCCATAGGACTTGACATAAAGGTTTCACGAAATTTCTTTTTACTTTTTTTTGTAACGGATCCAGTTATTATAATCATGATCATCGTAATCAGATAACATGATTTGAAGAGTTTCAAAAGCAAACAGTGAACAAAATGAATTTAAACTTTTGTCAGTTTACAAACATGTTTCCTATGGCGCCATCTCTCTGAGGACGTGGGAAACTCGATATGATGTGAAGCTTTGTGAACAGTGTAAAACATCGTCCCAGCAGACACCACGCACTCCACTGATGCAGCTGCAGTCAACACAAACTTGTTTCAGTTTAAATTTGCATAACTACACAAGCACGTATACAGGTAGACTCACATTTAGTCTCTGAAATCTTAGATAACACAATATCCTTCTTGACTCTAAAACTAAAAACAATTCACTATGCTTATTTCAGAATAGAGCTAGCTTGAGCTGGCTAGACTTGCTTTTGTATGCATTTCTAGATTTTGTTTTTTCATAAAATAACTTTAAATATATTCCACGGTCATGGTGCAGGACTAGTATACAGGTTTTGGGTTGTTGTTTAAAATGAGGGGTGCATTTTGTAACCACAGGATTAACATACAAGTGCAACAACGACATTGTTAACAAATCCTGGTAAATAAGTTGGTATTTAGCTGAAAACAAATAATAAAATTACAGTAAACTACGGTTATAACGAACTCAAAGGGACCACTAATTTTAATTTGTTATAACCGTAGTTCGTTATAAGCAAATGTAAGGAATATATACAGCAAATAGACAGAACCAAAAAATAGTTCGTTATATCCGTCAGTTCGCTATAAGCGTGTTCGTTATAACCGTAGTTTACTGTAGTTAAAATGCTATTGGTAGGGAAGGACATACTTTTCGCGAACACCTGGTGTCATCACTGATTTTCAGTGATCCATTTATACAATTTTCACCGCTAATTTAACTTTACGCCCATTTGATTCTGTTTCGTCGGATAATCGACATTGGTTGTTCTCTGGCGTTGACTGTATTTAAAAGTGCTGTAATACTTTCCCTATAAACCAGATCACTTTTATTAAACATACTCATCCATGCAACATTAATCCAGTCACAAAGTTACTGGTGTTGATAATGTAGACGTAAGTAACGGGCTTAAAGGGGAAGTGTACACGCAAAAATCACTTTCTTTCTTTTTCTAAACAAAACGCAATTTTAGAATAAGTTAGTATCTGTGTTTGAAAATACACACTCATTTTTTTCATAGTGAAAGTAGGAAGCTCACAATAGTGTGAAAATGGTATGCCGTTATGAGGCCTTCGTTTTTCGAGCTAAACAGGCCTGAGTTATCCCCCTTAGATTATGACGTAATTGGTGCCAATTCAACTGGGTCCCTGTCTATTCTGAACGCAAAAGATGTCAAGTACAAGTTTTCGGTAAAACAACATGGCCTACGACACACTCTGGCGCAGTGGTGACTCAGCATAACACTATGCTGGCTGGGATCTGAGACGCTAGAATCACACACCTGTACCTACACCACGTGAAGCGGCTCTAACAAAGCATGATGACGTCATAATGTTTATCAATTGGCACCAATGACGTCATATTGCAAGGGGCATAAGCCATGGTGTTTTTGTTATGGAAATAGAACACTTGGTAAATGTGAAAAATATAAATCGTTTTAATGCAAAACATATGTTAATTAATTGTGATAATTTTATTTTTTTTGTCTATGACACTTCTAGGTTAACACTTTTATTGTGGAAAAAGTACAAGAAAATTAGGTTCATTTCCGTGTGAACTTGCCCTTTAACGAAACAGCACAATAGTGCAGGAACTTGAAACTGACACTGTCGACCTCACACGCGCAGTTGGCATATTAGGTCAAGCTGGAAACCGACAAGGAAGATACATTTCAGACTTGTAATAACACATTTCATGACAATTTTAACAAAAAACTTACATCCCATTTATCAGTGTCTTAACGGGTTAAAACTAAACACAGCTATGCATACGTAACAGGCGACCTATTCACGAAGCTTTCTTAGCTGAGACAAATCTTAGCGACTTACAGCTAAACTCAGGACTGCAATAAGAGCGACACCTAAAGCTGTCTTATACTTATCGCAACGTTATCTTACTTACGACACAAATCTCAGCTGAGACAGTGAGCTCTTTTGTGACGGAGGTAAAATAAGTTTGGTGTTTTCCAATGACGTCATCAATTATTCAGGGAATTATCTAGATTGATTTTTTTGTTAATATATTTTATATAAGTTTTAAAGTAAAACAAATTCATCACTATTAAAGATGTTAATGTTAAGACTAATGCTGTTGCTTCCTGGTATTGTCCTATGCAACTGATCAATGAAGGATATTATCGCAAAAATGTTGTCCTTTATAGATAGATATAGCAGGAAGATTACATTATATATATCACATTTTTCGACGTTCTTTTCATTCGGTTTAATAACACATATGTAACCGATATAATTTGTAAACAAAGCTTGGGCGATAGGAATGCACTGTTTAACCTTAGAAACAAAAATTCTCAACTCAAACAACAATTAATCACACTCAGCACTGAAATCATTCAACTGATATTGATTCGATAATATTTTTTTATTATTTCAGACTGCAGCGAGCGATAACTGTCTCGGGGCAATTGAACAATCACAAGGACAAGTAAACGTCTTTGGACACTTTGCCAATTGATTAAATATTCGTATCGACGTTTATTTAACATAGAACAAGGTTATTTGTGCATGTGTTCTGAGCATCTTAAATTAAAACAAATTTTCAAGAAAGTCCGCGATTTGAAAATCACAGATGCCTATTCCATCCTTCAAACTCACACTAAAGAAATCAAAATCAACTTTGTAAATATATATACTGTATGTATGTGTTTCCATCTTTGGTGTTCAGGACTTCCTTGTGATGTTCTTAAGCTTAATCTATGTCCTGTGAAGTGTAACTATGTAGGGTCTCACATCTATCAAAAAGGGAAACCATTGACTGGGACAAGAAATACGCGCATTATATCGGTATGGCCACATGTAAAAAACAGATAGACTACATCACACATAAGTGAACAAACATCCTTTTGGTAGATATGAGAAGGAAATCCAGAAAATATAACAATGAAACGTCCACAGATCAGGATGTCCCACAGCAGCGACATAATTGTAGCAGTTCTCCCTGAGAGCAAAATCGATTTGGGAAAAAATGTTCCGGGAACCAACCTTGCTAGATTTGTAAACCGACTTTATATATACTACCAGGGAGAAGTCCTGCACGTGACTGGGGAATATAGGGAATATACATGTATATATTTTATGAACCAAAACCTAGATTTTAAAAAGCATGTCTAGCCATCTCTAATAAAACCCACTTTAGGGGAGAGAATGTGTCGTGCATTAAAAGCTTCCATAGGCTGTATTATGTTAGTCTTGTTCCGTTCGCGGCTGTTCAATTGATTAGACCAGCAGGGCTCTCGGAACATCGTCGTCCATGAATACCCAACCACAAACAATTCCTCGTGGGTTTTTTTATATAACCACGTATAGGATAGTTGAGCAGCTGACAAAAAAGGTTCTTTAAACTAGAAAAAGAGTGTGAACGTTTTTTAAGCGTCCGACTAGGGCTCGGGAACCTGTCGGTGCTGTTTGGCTTGCTTACACGCCGAGCATGCATATGTGCAATAATTTTGAAAATAATATTTTTTCCAAAAGCTTGTTTCTTTGGATTTCAATGTAAGCACGTACCATTTCTAAACAAAACTGACAGAATCGCAGTTCGGCACATTACCGTAATTCTAGATTGCCATTTGTCTGGTTGGAGTAGGCAGTGGATGGTGAGAGGAGCTCACAAAGGCCCAGCGAGCCATATCTAACTTAACTTGATGTATTACGTCACGTCACGAAGTAATTGGAAATGTAAACCTCAACTCAAGTCAACTAAAAGTGCGCACATTTATTTCTCATCGATATGGTCTCTGTGATTTTGTAACCTCAGCAACAACGTGTAAAACACAATGTAATATTAGATTGTAATATCTGTGACATAAGGCATAACTCATTTCACTAAGAGCGTCTGAAACCGTGCTGACAAAATGGCTGTAGGGTTTGGCCGGTAGAGCATTAAATTCTACTTGTTTTAATGATGCCACAAACACCATGGAAATCTTCTTATGCACGCTCGCGGTGTCGGACACAAGGGTTAAAATCTGATTAAAATTTGCCGGATTTAGACTTGCATTACCGAGTGGCGTGAGCGACGTCATTTATCTCGAAGACGTCATCTGTACGATCTTTTTTCTGCTGGGGTCAGCAACGACGTCGGGTGTGTGGTTCACTCAGGCTCAAAGTTAAATATACCCTGATTGCATTATACAATACAGCATTCGTACCCTCCGAGAGCTGTGTGCCTGTCTGTGTCCGATGTTATTCCCCA